CACTAGCTCGACTACTTCCCCTAAGGGTCTGGGAGATGTGTAACCATACGTAATGGTCGCCACGCTGCAAGAAATTTTAACCGAGATAACCGAGAATGAATGGAGAGAAAGGAATGATTTTACTTGTGAAAATTATGTTATCGAGCGCGGAGCTGCATCTCTCGATCGTCTATTAACGAATATCTAAAAAATTATTTTACACAAATGTATTTAATTCGCTAATTAACTTGAGATTATTTTACAAGTTTATGCCGGATTACATTTCAAGAAAGAGAAGACGTATCCTATTTGAGATTACTTTCTCGAAGAGAATCGCACGTCTATCAATATCTCTCGGCGATGGAAATCGGTGACATATTAAACAAAAGCGCTGGTGCAGCGCAATATACACGAAAAATCACTCTTCCACGATGCACTTTACATTGGCAACTTTCGAAAGTGACCACGTTCAATCAATCTTAGTGCATCAGCTGAACCGAAACCGTCTCGCATATCCACGCGGATACGACTGACGATGACGCATGCATCGGTCAGAATGGCTTTGGTTCCCATGCATTTCGCGAGGACGGCCGACGATATATAATGCCAGCTTCTCGGCCGTCCCTATCTACGGCAATTAGCTGTTAAAAGTGTTCGTGTGTTTCATCGGTTATCGCCGTCCCACCCACGTGCCCGAATCGTCCTCCGCGCGTTATCTCGCGACAAAATGCATCTCGTTCGACCGGAACAGCTGGCCGAAAACGCGACCCGATCCGCCGCGGTAGAAACGTCGTCCGTGCATAAATGCGACGCCAATGTCGCGAAAGAACGGCATTTTCATAATGCCGATCGTCCCTCTTCACTCGGGCCTACGGCCTTTCTTCTTTTTTCCGACCGATATCTGCGTCGTATTCATGCTTCTAGGAAGCGGTCTCATGCTTCCCACGAACGGCACCTCTTTTCTTTGAAGTCATCTCGGCGCTGACCGAGAGAAACACTGCTGAGCTATCACAGCGGGATACTTTTAAGCATATACGACATTTCTACGGCTTACCTTTGCCTTAATTTTTCTTTGATGTGTTTCCGAAAAGTAACATAATTATTAGTCAAATTTTTGCGCGGGAAAATTTATCTTTCTTTTCTTTGTAATATATTCTTTAGGAAAGTATATAAAATCAAGTAAAGTTGTATAAAAATCATATAGAATTTTATTTATACAAGTGTAAAATTATATTGGAATTCAGTTTTGCATAGAGTTGTAGCATTTCATTAATAGAAGACACAGATAGAATTATAGATGTGGACAGATATATAGACGCGAAACGAAAGTGCCGAGTAATTCAATGCAAAGTCACCATTAATGTCTATTAAGCTCTAATAAAAGACGTGCACGCGTTTCGATGACAAAATACGAACAGAGAACCCCTTGCACTAGCCACGTCCTGTCAGCTAACAAGGCAAAATTAGTTGTGAAATAAATCTCGACTGCTTTAAAATGTAGTGCGGCAGGAGGGCAGGGGATGGAACCTATTAGCACAGCACCGCCCCTCAATCAAAAGCAGTTAAGGATGACCGTGTGCCATGCTCGTTTTCCTCGGGTTGTTCAAATTGACGACTACTACAAGGATTCACTCCCTCAACATCTCCGTTGAAGAGAGGAAAATCGAGTATAATTGCATTACAAAAAGGATGTTATGTGAATTCAGAAATACGAGTCGCAAATGATTGCGAATTTCATACTTTATGTGTCTTACTCTTACTTATGTTCGGCTATATCTTGCTTCCAAATCTTTTTTTTTTAATATAAAAACGTGTCTCTACGTATGATTTTGTAAGGCGTCTTTGAGCATTTGTACAATCCGCGATATAAAATACGCTCAAGCCACATTTTGTCAATATAGTAGACGATCTTGTTTCCAAGGATGCCGCGGCGTCCTGCGAGGACCACTCAACTTTGGGAGCCTCTCTTGTCTCGGCATTATTGAAAGTTGTCTTGAGGGTCACTAGGAATGTAGCGGGAGGAGGACGCCTCCGGGGATAGCGAGGAGGTGAGGACGGGAGAAAGACGAGGCGAGTCAGATAGCGAGTGATGAAGAGGAATGGACGGCGGAGTGGCGGAGACTCCTTCTAGCAGCCCATGCGGGCGCACTGTCCTAATTACAACGAGGCCTCCTATTTTTTTCAAGCTGAAAGGAGCCGAAGTATTCGCCCGCGGCAACGGCGCGGGGCCTAGACGATTCCGGACCGCTTTCAGGACTCATTTGCGAAGTGCAAAAGGATCGTCGGCACATCACCGTCGCCGATGATGAGGGAAACGAGAGGCACACATCGAGGAATGCCAGTAGAAAGGAAGATAGTTGGGGGGGGGGATGAGGGGGAAGGCGGACAGGACGAAAGAAACGCAAAGCGTGTTCTGCCAAAAAAGTGGCGGGAAAAATGTTTTTCCCAGCCATTCATAGCTGTGGCCGAATGTGCGGCCTCTTCTCACGATTCATTCATACCTCACCGCATGAGATTTGATCTACCTGCCTCGCCACCGGCGAAGACACTGGCGGGCCATTCTTCTTTGACGCTCTCTTGTAGGTCCGGTGGTATGCATGCACCGGACCTCTCGGATTTCATCGTAGGCGATTCATCTACCACTGTCGATACTCGCTGACTACGTTTTGTTAATTATCCAAAAGTATTTCTGAACTTTGCAGCCAGTATTTATTAATTAAACGTATTTATTACGTTTATTCACGTTGGAATCGCTGTAATCGGTATAATTTATATCATTATAGTAATTTCACGTTGCAAGATGTTGCGAGAAATGATATTTCCGAAAAAAAAAAAATTATTTCCCGAAAATAATCTCACAGCAAAAAGGAGACAGCTTCTTTTTCGAGTCGAAATGTTGGACGAAAAATATAACTTCTCTTCGACGCCGGGCAATTATCCCGCCTTCTTATAGAATTCGAGAATCGTATCGCTCGTCGGCCGTCAAACGTAGCGTAGGAAGATGGGCTAACGATCTTAATGGCTAGGCAAAACATTGACACCTTGGCGGTGCTCGCGAGACCACCTGGACGGGGACACGAAAGAGAAGGCGGGCAGGGATCGTTAAACACAGGATCAGTGCGAGAGGAGTGGAAATCCTTATGAGAAAGTAAGTTGGGCGAACGATGACAACGAGCTAACAGCGTGCGCAAACACGGCGGCTTGGGACAGAGCCGTACCCGGGCCGGTGATCATGTACTTACGCGTTTCCTCTCAAACACCGACGACGTCGACAGCTCCGGGGACACGGCATCGGACACTGATCATGGGAAAAGACAAATCCCGCTTGTTCAAGTAGGAATGTCCGAGCTGAATGCCCAGGCAACACGCGCCGATGATCGGAGAATCGCTTCGTTAATACGCTTGTTCGAGAGTAAATAGTGGAAATTTGCACAAAGTACATATACAATTGGAAGATTATATTTTTGAAGAGCAAAGAAGAGAATTATCGTATAAATATATTATTTTAATTATAATTATATTTTTTCACGTAGACTTTTACGTAGACTGTCTTTTTTTCATAACGCATTTCAAAATATTTTTTTCTTTTTCTTTGTTTTTATTGAAAAGGATTGAAAAGGATGGAGGCGGAAAAGGCAACATTGAAATAATAACGACGAAATGTATTTGTACGGTCTTTGGTTTAATACGATACAACAGAGCGGGCATTCTAAGATGAGAAACCCGATTCCTATTACATATCCACACATAACTATAATTCTCAATTTATTACTAAATTATAGTATATTATTAGGTGTGTTATGTACAATGCATATATGTGAAGCGACCGCGCTAATTGATTTACTTTTAATTTATCGCGACATATGGAACGCACTTATTCTACTAAAATTTTAGTTTACGGTCCACGATACTCCTACAGTTATCAGAAGAATTTAGTTTTACAATCAATCGAAACGTTTACAGACCGTACTTAGCTTCTCGCATCGTTATTTAATTCTGCGTTCCATACATTTCTACAGTTGTATAAATCATAATGGAAAGAGACAGAGAGACCGAATTGAAAGCGCACGAAAGATATCCGATCTATTCTTAGGAAGCAACATCATATTAATCGACGCTCAAATCTCACAGCGCTATTGCGTTATTTTCAGATAAAAATGACTTTTTGAAAATCGATAAAACAAATTTTTCATATATCGTCAGCCTTTAAAAATATTTCTAAAATGATTGATTTATTACGCGATACGAAATCTGAATGTCATAAAAAGAATGTCATCTATAAAACAATATCATATTATATTAAGAAAATAGCCGATATAAATTACTAAATAATAAAATCAAGATAGAAATGGTGACTCTGTCTCCCTTTTTGTCAAAACGGAAGCAAGCATGGATTGATCCGGTAATGGACAATTAGTCGCCTGAGGGATGTTTTAAGATGCATATCACAGACGCGATGATATGAAAAAAAAATACAATATGCGTGTGCGTATATAAATAACGATTTACACATTAAAACTGCGTCGATGATAATTATGAACCTCGCATTTGTACATATGATTTATGATAAGCTTTCGAGAATCGCTGTCGATGTGAAAATTAAGTATGATAATGCATATCTCGATGCATTTTTGTTCGTAAACGATCGCAAAGTGACTTTCTATCGTGACCGATCTTTAGGAATAGATGGCAACGCGATGAGTCATAAGTACCAAAAAATTCTTCCGGTATTAATTTTGAAGACTGCTGGTGTAGGGCGTATCAGTTTGTGATTTCTTCTAAAAATTTATAAAAATAAATTGATGAATCACGATATATATAAAAATATACATTACACGTTTAAAAAATATATATCAGCAGTCATAAAATAGCATCATTTATGGAATTTTAAAACTATAAATTTAAATCGATGAAGAGAATAAATCTTCATGCGACAACACCCTGTTGCCAATAGTCTTCAACAGTCTCGCGTGTTAAAAAAAAAAAAAAAAAATCAGTATAAAAAAAATCACGCAAAAGAATATTTTTTAAAAAGAATAGTATCAAGTAAAATATAAAGTTAAAAGGATCCCGTTTGCGAGTTAAATATCAAAATTAACGAGCCTCGTCAAGTTTCTGATTAGAGTACTCATATCCTGCGAAGGTACGTCAAGGTACGAGAAGAGAAGCAGCAGCAACGCGACACGCGACATGAATTAACGTTTGTCGCGTTCGTTGCATCTTTCTCTTTTTGCACTATGAGAGTTGATATCGTGATAAACTCCATGTATACGAGCAAAAAATAATCGCACGTGTAATCGGAGTTATCAATTGTGATATATCCACCTCTCTTTCATAGGCACTTTTAAGCTCAACTAGATTCTTTAAATACAGAATGGCGCAAAAATCACGGAAAGATTTAAAACATTCATATTTTTTCGGACTTTAATTTTACAGATTTATATCCTTGCAAAATAATGACGAATAAACACAATTGAGCATCGAACCAAGACTATAGAATTTCATCTCGTAAATTGAATTTCTATTGCTTCTAAGTTTATTTTAATTTGTTAAAGCAATAATTAAAATAAATGAAACTCAAAAAAATATAATTAAACCATGTATAGAAAATTGTTTCTTTCAAAAAGATCGTAATTTCTAACTTTATCAATTCCGGCTAATTGTTTTTCATGATTAATTTTCCACGGATTAATCTCTTTAAATCTGTAAAAAGAGAAGATCAGAAAAATTAGTAAAATGAAAAAGGTATGAGTGTTCAAGTCCCTTCCTGACTTTCATGCCAACCTGTACAAGTAATCGGAGTGTAAAAATCTTTATAAAAATAAAATAAATAATCTGAATAAATATGAAAATATGCTAATATTATAATTAGTCAATAAATTATTATATAAGATTATGGAGCATGAATCGCTCACGAAGATACCTTTTCAATGTGCCGTCGTGAGATTTTTGTCGCGTGTACAACGTAATACGTACGCACGATTTTCTCTTGTTGACGAGAGATACAAATTACGACGAGATCCAAAACATTGCATTTGATTATAAATGCATGAAACTATGATTGGATTCTTTCCTACTAACTATTTCTTTCTCAGTTCATAACTGCTTTACGCATGCAGCACAAATAAAAATGCGTAACCTTACGTAATAAATGTCCACATGTCCAAAATTCCACGACTTCAGAAAGTAAAAACATTTGTAGACAATTACACTAAGCGGCTTGAGATTTTCTAGAGCTCTTTCATCGATTGCTCTAATCCTGTATATACCTTGTGTGTATAGTAGTAGATGATTGTCATCAACTTATTTGTATGAAAAAGTATATCAAGAGTCTCAAGTCGTCACTGGTAGATTAAACCGTGGTCGTGTTCAACGTAAGGCGCTAATAAAATGTCGAAAATAAAGTGTATCGAGGATAAAAACATAAAGTTTTTAGAACGTTATTGTTTCGACAATTATTTGCGTTGAACATTGGACGGTTGAGTCGGATCTCATTCTTACATTCTTTCTTGTTTGTGAAATCAAATATATGGTGCATCTTCGCGTGAAGCCATGGTATATGTGATAGATGAGTGTGCTTGAGATTACGTGTGATCGCGAACTACAACGACGAAAGCCAACGGGCCGGTAACCACACGACTCTTTATCCTTGTCTTTCTTCTGTCCGTCATACTGTCCTATCACATCGAAGTTCTATCAGGAAGTGTCGAAGGTGAATGATGGACGAAGTTCGATGATGGCTTAGGAGCCATCACAGAACCTTGATATGGACACGACACCGCGATTTGTCGCGATATATCCGCCGGTTCGACAACGTGGATCGATCCTCGTCATCGATACCGACGGATAGCCCAATCCTTGTTGCGGAAACCATATCGTTAAAGTAATTCCCTCGCGATAATACGATCAATTGTATCAGCGAGGAAAAGAGATCTCTATCACCCTCATCATCTAGGAGAGTAGAGCATCCAGATACGGTTGCGCCAATTTCGTGAGATGTGGAATGACGAATCGTCGCCTGATTGTAACCCTTTTCCGGCTTCCGTCTTGCCATCCTTAAGATTGCATCGGCAAGTGTTTACGTAGATACTCGAATATTTGCTCCACGTACTCGAGGCCGTTCATGTAGTCACGAAAGATTAGCCAGTCCCGCAGATTGCGAAACGTTGAGGAAGACGACATCGCTCGGTACTCGGACGACATGGCATCTCGGGTGACGTCCTGCCGCGACATTACTCCGCGCTCCACTAAAGCGACCTGCAGCTCGCAAAGAACCTGAAAAAAAAATAGAAACATCAGGTTATTAAAAATGTTTTGAACGCTTAAACGCACAGGCGTATTTTTTTAGTGAAAATTTAATGAGCATCGTAATAAAAATGCACTGAAGAATATCAGTATCAGTGGAATTACTTAGTTTTCTCAATCTAATTATTCATCTAAATTTAAAACAATATGAAAATGTCGACCAATATAACTCGTAAATACAAAAATCAAGATAAGCATTGCTAGTAATCTTCAATGGGCGGTGACTGTTCTTGGCAGTGATCTTTCAGAGTTCATCTTTTCGAAAAAAAAACCGGTGATCGAAAATAAGCAAAAAAACCGCAGGAACTACGATAGGAACTTGTGCGTGCCGAAAGCCATTCGTCGGAATGGTCGATAAAATAGCAGTTTCGCCTTTCAGCGCCGATTCTTAACGTTTCAACCTCTACGTAAAACGCTCGTAAAACTTGGCAAAACGCTTTTTATCGCGTTTGTAGCCACAAGAGAAAGAATAATTCAGGCTAATTGCGCCGGAGCTATTGTGAAAGTTGCGCGCAGCGGTTCTTTTTTTTTATTCCACGCGCTATAGAAGAGTGACAAATCGGAAACTCGCGGGCTCGTCGTAATTACTCGGGAAGATAACGGATTTGATCTCGAAAATAAACTCACCGTTCGAAGCTCGTACTCGGTATCCTGGAACTGCTTGTGAAACTCGAGATGATGCTCCTCCTGGTCCCAAACTATCTGTTCCAAGCCCACCGCGTACTTCTGCATATATTCATATGCATCGAGGAGAGCCTTGTCGAGCTGAAAATCGAACACATTATTGATCATTTATTCGTAATTATGCGTTATTCGTACATATAATTCATATCGCGTGACGCTTCGCAAAAAAAAGAAAAAAATTTCTCAGAAGTTACTGTTGTAGATTATTAGCGACACATGGATAAGTGAAACCGACATGAGCCAACGTTATCAATGATACGCACCTCTAATGTATCAAGATACTTTTGATCCAGCTTCTCCCCCAAATGTTTAGGTATCTCATTCAGCCCAGGTAGCCAATCGTAATGGCTATCCTTCCACGTCGCGTGCATGTCGTCGAACTCCATCTTGAAAGTCCGTCTGACCTGCAAAATCAAAGAAGAAAAACGTGGGCGCGATTAGATGCGTGTTGCCTCGCTCGAAAAAGGAGCCGCGGCGTCGAAGAAAGATGCGCGGGACTATCAAGTTTCCGCATCGTCGTCCTCTTAGCGCGCGCAGTCTCGCGGAAATTTAAGAAAAATTATTCCGCGTGGGTGTCGCGTTATTTCAACGTTGTTTTGCGTGTCTCTCATATTCGTTCCCGCGCACGAGAGTAGATTAAGGAGTGCATGAAGCAATACGTGACGTGATACGCATGCGTTTACGGCTGCTACCTGTCAGTTATTTAAGTGCAAGTTGTTTGTTCAATTGATAATATTTAATTTTTATAATAATATCACATTTTCCTTTTCTTCAGAAAACAATCGTCAGCAAAAGAATGCGATGCGTGTGCCGCGACAGTTCGCGCTACCGCGTCTTGACGGCGATGCATCTCGTCACGTAACTCGTCGCTTCACATTGCTGCTTCGTGAAAGGATCGCGGACTAGTTGCACCGCATTGCTCTCATTGTATTTCGAGGTATTCGTCAATTGTGCCGGCAACGGCGCGTACATCGATGCGCTCGCGTTAATTGCTCGTGCACAGCTCGTGAAACAGCGGGAACGACGCCACTGGGTGTCAGCGAGTTTAGTCACCGATTATACGCCGTGCAACACACCTCGTACGCGATCAGTCTCCCGATATCCCTCGTTCCTGGTACGATGAAAATGCAACCGGCCGTGCGAACCGCTGCGTGAGTAACGCTCGGCGCTTGGCCGGCACCTCTCAATGCGCG